GCCATCCTTTTCTGGATCCTGACGATGCGCTCCAAAAGCTTCCTTCCCCTCCTCCATCTCCTCTGGGGTCTTCCAGCTCCGCTTTCAATACCGAGGTTGGGTCCTGAATTGTCCGTGGAGGGCCCCGCGAGCGTCCCAAGGGTCTTCCGAAGCTTGATTTGGAGGTCTTGGCTGGAGGCAAGCACCTGGCTCTTCTTAGTGGCGATCTGGCATTTAAACTCGTGCTGGATGCAACTGGCAAGAGATCTAGCAGCCATATTCATCTGGCTGATCACTAGGTCATAGCTCTTGCCATGACACTGCAGCAGCAAATCATCAATAAACATAGCAAGACGGATGTGACTGTGTGTGCTGGTCCACTGGTCGAGGGGAGCTAAAACATACATCTGAACCAGATACGTAGCCCAACCGCACCCAGCTATGAGTCCCCTCCGTGCTTTTCCAACGCTAACACACACATCTTGCATGGCAACAAATCGTGAGCTACCATACTGAGATAGTATAATACGTAGCAAGCAGCATGGAAATCCAGAAGCAGCAGCTCGCTGGGCAAGGCACTCACGATCCACATATTCATAATAGTTAGATAGATCCCATAGCACTTGGGCAGAGTGTTGGGGTTCCTCCCTGCACGCATGAAATTCACATTCAAGAGACTGGGCGAAAACCAACTCAACGATAGAGTGACCAGCTTGATAAGCAATATATGGCCGCCTGTGGTGGTATTCCCACTCGCGGGCAGCAGACCTCCTAAGACGAGCCCACACACGATACAGAGCGGGGAGCATGCCAATGGAGCGAAAGGCTGGCTGCGCATGTATATCATCTTGCTGTTTAACTTTGAGCATGAGTGTAGATATAGCTCCCCGCAGCTGCGATGGCATGTGCCCTACCTGCTCTATAAGCTCGATCAACTGGCAGACGAGCCCGGCTTGCTCGTCGTCTAACATGGCGAAGTGACGCGGGTGCACTCCGTCCCACGTTGAGGCCGTACTGCGAGGGAAACTGCGAGAAACCTTGCGGAGACGCGCGGGAGTGATAGGTCCCAGGGCAACTCTGTCGTCCGTCGGGGGGACCCACTGGGGGGGCTCTTCGGAGTGCACCTCCCAGATCTTAGCAAGTCTGTCGGCCTCAACCTGGAGGAGGTGCTGCGGACGTCCTGAGAAACGCTGGCAGTGAACAACGGAGACAGGCCTCCAAGCTTCCAACTTCTTCGTCCACCTGTGAGCCCATCCCACTCCTCCCTTCATAGAAGACTGCACCCAATCCCTCCATTCCTGGCCGTCCCTCCTGTGCTCGGCGGCAAGTTCAGACTCTATGATCTTGCCGACTTGCTCGAGCAGCTCGTCTAAAATAGTTATGCCCAACTCTGCGTTGAGCTTCTGCGCTTGGAAATCCTCATGCAAGAGTCCTGTGGCAATACGAACTTCCTGCAGCCCCTGGGCGAGGGCAGAAGAGGAACTGAAAAGTTCTGGGCTGTCATCTAGACTGTCCAGAGTATCCCGAAATTCCTGGAGGTCATTGTCCTGGATGCTGCGACGAAAATCCTGCAGCCGATTTTGAAGCCAACGAAGGGGCCTGGAATAGGCCGTCCAACACTTACGCCCCTGGGTGCACTTGGCACTCGCCGAGACCATATGGATCTGGGGGGGGTGGGCCCTAGGGGTTCTACTGGGCTTGAGGGGGGTGTCTGTTTTCACACTAAGTGTGTGTTCGAGGTCCTGGACGAGGGTGAAATACACGTGGTCCAGGATGGTGGAGCGCTGCTGGTCGGAGAGCGGCTGCGAAGCATCTCCGAGCAATTGGACAGCATAATCTATCGTAGCAGCAGTCTGATGCCAACTGACCGACGGGAGCTGAGGACCGATGGGCACCCTAGTGGGGAGCTTCTGTGGCCTGAGGAGCGTCGGGATCTGGAAATTGTCCTGCACTTGCAGTGACATGAGCACAGGACGGTGGGGAGAAAGAGGGTAGGAGGACAAGGTACGAGGGGGGTGTAGCCAGGGACCTAGGGCCTGGCTGTGGATAAAGAAGTCTAGGGTCGACTTCGTCTTCTTAGTATAATAGGTGGCCGCTTTCGGCGCCGCCACCGCCATCGTGGCACGGGTGAGGAAATCCGTGCCCTTCTGAAGCCTCTCAGGCTGCAAGTTGAAATCGCCAGCAACCAGGAGGGGCTTGCCTACAAGATCTTGAGTCTGGCCAAGAGTGGCCAGCAGGTTCAAATTTGTCTCGCTTAGGCCCGCAGAGGCCTGAAAATAAGCGCTCACCAAACCGAACGTTGGGACCCCTGGCGCTTCGATGACCACTCCAGCTAGTCTGGAGAGGTCCGTCCCTGGAGGAAAAGAGAGCGGCTGGACCCCCAGGTCCAAACCGTCCCGAACTAAAACCGCCACCCCCGAGACAAGTTCACCCGAGGGGTTGCGGACAGCTGGCGATATGTGAGCAAGCCAGCCACGTGCGAAGCACCATTGTATCTGACGCGTGATGCTGTCCCCAGCATCAAGTCTGCACTCCTGGGCACAAATAAAGGTGAGATCATTAGCAGTGGAAGACTCTACAAAGGCTTTCACTGCTCCCCAGCACGATCCGTTGATCGTCGCGAACGTGTAGAGGCTGTCAGGAAGACGGCTTGACGTCCGTGGACCCCGTGGCTCCAGCGGCGGCCTCCGCGGCCGTCGCCGCAGCCCGCGCCCTCTTGGCCTCGGGGCCCTGCGCACCCTGGATCTCGGCCATGCCGCTGGCGACTGCCTGGAGGGCGGACGCCGCGCGCACCAAGGACTGAGACTGATCCATCGGAGTCGCGCCGTCGAGCTCCTCGTCAGTGGGGCACGGCACTTGCACAGCAGTAGGCGGTACAGGCGGTGCCGCGCCGCTGGGTGCCACAGCCTCTGCCACCTCCATCTCGTCCTCGAGCTTCTGGCCGACGGGCGGGAAGTCGTGGTCCGCCCACTGGCGAGGCGTAGGCACCTGCGACTTCTCGTGCTGCGTCGTGAGGTCGTCGAAGTATTGGGCGAGCTCCGCCACCTTCGAGCAGAGGTCTGGCGGCGCCCTGCTGCCTGGCGGCATCCGTGCCGCGAGGACCCCTTGCAGCGTCTCCAAGAGGTCGTCATCCTTGGTGGCCGCCTGCATGGCGGCCTGCTTGGCCATGTTGTGCTGACTCTCCAGCGACTGGATCTCCTGCTGCGTGGCCTTGGCCTCCTGCA